TTGGCAAGAAACGGTTTCAAGTTCTGTGTTTCAGGATCCTGGATTTCCGACGAATCCCCCCAGTTTCTGGTCGTTTGGTCAATATAACGAAGGAGATCCGTGACATCACGACGGACAAGAAACTGGCCAAGACTTTCTTCATCTCACCAGGTGAGTTCACACTGCCATCCATCCTCTTGCATGGCTGCCTATGTGGAGCTCAGCTGAAGCAGCTGCTTCTGCCCTGGCTTCCTCTCCATCAGGGCAAACTGTCATAGAATCATAGAATGGGTTGGGTTGGAAGGGACCTCAAAGATCATCTAGTTCCAACCCCCCCTGCCATGGGCAGGGACACCTCCCACCAGACCAGGTTGCTCAAAGCCCCATCCAGCCTGGCCTTGAACACCTCCAGGGATGGGGCAACACCTCCAGGGATGGGGCACTGGGGACATGCCTTTGGGGACTCCTCCAGCTCTCACCAGGTCCCCTGCCACGAGGAGGAGTCCCCTGCAGCAGGGCTCTGCTCCTCAAGGCCTTCCTTGCCATTGCTTTGCTGGTGGCACACGGCCATGGTGCATGGAGCATCCTCACCGCCCTGCGTGGGGGTAGCAGGCTGGCTGCCCTCCTGCTCTTTGTCAACTTTGGCTTTGTCCCTACGACCAGCGGGCAACGTCTGCTTCTACGGGGAGTGCTCCTACTACTGCTCCACCGAGCACGCCCTCTGCGGCAAACCGGACCGGCTGGAGGGCTCCATGGCCGCCCTGCTGCCTGACAAGACCTTGGCCAAGCGCCGCTCCTGGCGCAGCCCCTGGCGCCGCTCCTACCACAAGAGCAAGAAGGCTGAGTGAGCTGGGACACAGGGGACAGGGGGGACAATGGGGCAGCAGAGCCATCGGGCGGGAGGGGACCGCCCCACGGCCGCTCTCATGGCCCTGCCCCCCACCCACAGGTGGGAGCTGAACCCCAACTACTGCGCTCAGGTGCGAGAGACGCCGCCCTACGACAGGGGCCATCGCCTCCTCGACCTCATTGACATGACGGTCCTCGATTTCCTCATGGGTGAGCCCCACCTTGCCAGGGCTGGGGTATGCCGGGCTGGGGGGGGGCCCAGCACCAAGAAGGCCCAAGGACTCCGTGTCCCACAGTACAGTGGCCCCACAAGGTTTCTCGGCCAAACAGAGAGCTGTGCTCTTACCCAAAACGAGAGCAAAGGGCTGGGCTGTTGGGGCACATCCCAGGCAGAAGCTGAAGGATGAGAGATGCCAGGGGGGGATCCCAGCTGAACACCCCAGGCACGGGAAGGGCCTCCTGGCAAGCTCCTATGCGCAGCCCCTGGGAGCGGGGATGTGGATGATGCTTCCTGGGGCTCGTGCTGTCCTCTCCTGTCCCCAGGGCCGCTCCTTCCTCCCCACACCATTCCCTCACCATCATCTGACTTGGATTGCTTCCCACCTCCCCATCCCCAGCCACCCAGCCATGCCCCTGCCATTACTTCTGCTCCATTTGCTGTTGTTGTCCCTCCACGGGGATGCCAGGATGAGAAGGGGTCTTTGGAGCACCCATGGGGGCTCTGCTCAGGTTCTCCTCACAGCCATGGCCACCAGATGGGCACCTTAGAGGTGCCCCCAGCCCATTTCTCCAGCCTCTGGGTTTCGGTCTTGTACCGGGAGAGTACTCCATGTTCCTGATCCTGCTCCCCAGCCCACTACACAATGGCTAATCTGTTGCCCCACCGCAGGCAACATGGACCGGCACCACTACGAGACCTTCGAGAAGTTTGGGAACGACACTTTCCTGCTCCACCTGGACAACGGCCGCGGGTAAAGTGTGTGTGTGTGTGTGTGTGTGTGTGTGTGTGTGTGTGTGTGTGTGTGTGTGTGTGTGTGAAGCAATCCTGGGAAAGGGGTGAGGGGAGACCATGGGTCTTGCTGAAATGCGCCCCATGTTGGGGGCTCTGAGCTGTGGGATGATGCTGCCCTGACACCCACCGATGGGCTTCTCCCCCCCCACCACCAGCTTCGGCACGCATTCCCGCGATGAACTGTCCATCTTGGCCCCACTCCAGCAATGCTGCAGGTAAGGGGGTCCTACCACCCACCCTGGGGCTGCCATTGGGGAGAGGCTCCGTGGGCTGAGACCTCTCCTTCCTCATCTTCATCAGCATCAAGAAGTCCACCTACCTGCGGCTGCAGCTGCTGGCCACCCAGCCCTACCGCCTGAGCGACCTGCTGCGGGAGGCGTTGGCCACCGACCCCCTGGCCCCCGTCCTGGCCGAGCCCCACCTGCGGGCGCTGGACCGTCGCCTGGGGATGGTGCTGGAGGTGGTGGGACGCTGCCTGGCCAGGGCGGCCCGCTCGGAGGAGGTGCTGGTGGATGATATGGGGTCACGGGTGTGATGGGGTTGGGGGTGCCCTGCTGGGTTGGGGTGTTTGGGGTGTTGGTGTGTAGCTCTGACTTGGTGGCACTGGAGCCAGCGGCTCGATGCACCAGGAAAGGGGCTGTGAGGATAGCCGGGATGGGGAGGGTATTTAAATAAAAAGGTTGGCTTAGTGGAGAAGACACCAGCTGAGATCTCCCCCACCGGGGCTGCTGTCCCAGCCCTGGCCTGTCCTTGCATGCCTGGGCGAGTCGCTTCAGCCCTCCAAAGCCTTTTAGGAAAGGGTAGGGATTCCTCCTGCCTTTCCCCAGCGTGGGCTGACGAACTCGAACAGCAGGAACGCTCCTTCTGCCCTCCCACCTACCTCCCCCTCCCCCAGCATGGCGATGCCCTAGTCACCCCCAAAAAGAGATTTGAAGCTCCCCACTGCCGGTGTGGGGAAACTGAGGCACAAGCTCCCAGCCGCTCGCTGCTTATCCCAGCCCCACTCTTCCCACGCCCACCCGAAACCCCCCACGGCTTCAGCATCGCCGCCTCCACTGCAGCACCGGGGGGGCAGAAAGGGGGGGGACAAGCCCCATTCCCTCCCCCAGCATCCCCCCAAATGTCCCGGGGAACCACCGCCGCACGAAAATTGGCTCTTGAGAGGGGACGGATTGACCCGTGGGGTCGTGCACCCTATTTAGTGCCCGGTGGCTCAGCACCCAGCTTATCCCCTGAGCCTCCCGGGGGGGGTTAATCCGCCGCAGGGTTACATCAACCAGGGCAAGTGCCATTGCTTCGGCCACCACCACTGTCCCCAGGACGGGGTACAGGGTTGGCATCGGGATGGCCAGAGATAAAGGTGCCACCGGAGAGGGGAGAGATGTCCTCCAGCCTGGCCGGTCACCCGTGGAAAGGGTGAAAAAGGGTGAAAAAGGGTGAAAAAGGGTGAAAAAGGGTGGCTGGCACAGTGGGAGATGGAGCTGCCCTGGAAAAGCCAGGCAGAGATTTGGGCCAGAACAAAAAAAGGGCTCGAAAGAGAGAGAGAGAGAGAGAAAAAAAAAAAAAAAAAAAGGGGGGGAAACAAAGAGGATCTGTCTGCATTACACAACGGGACCAGGGACTCTGAATGGGGGTTTGTTGTGGTGTCCCCCCCCCTCAACCCCCCGGCACGTCCTCCTGCCCGTGCCCTGGCTTTTACACCAAACCCCAGGCACGGGGAGGAGGAGGTTTCGGGGCTGTTTTGCAACAGGTTACTCCCCTTCTGCCCCTTCAGCTTTTTTAACCCGTTCTACAAATGCCTTTTTATGCCCATACCCAACGCTGGTGGGGCTGGTGCCTGCCCTGTGCCCCACGGATGCTGCCCCACGACTGTGTCTGGCCACGGGTGGCGGGTTTCCCCCCTCTCTCACCGAGTCCTGTCCCATCCCCCCCACCCAGGCAAAATCTTTTTCCGAGACGCCGTGGGATTTAGAAGCCGGGGCGTGGGAGGGCGGCTGTTTTCTCAGCCCGACGAGTTTGCTCAAGGTCCCGGCTGCGCCGTGGTGCCTTCAAGGTCCCACGGGACCAGCCAGGTTTGGCTGGCAACCCCCCCCCTTTCCACCGTCAAGCCGGCCTGGCCACCTGTGGGGGGAGAGGGATGGTTAACGGGGTGTCTGAGGCCAGGGACCCGGGGACCAGTAGAACCCGCCCGCCCGGTTGAGGCGTCGTGGGCCACATGGGCGTCGAGCGGGGTTGCCCACGCCGTGGGGATGGGTTTGGCTGCACCGGGCTGGTGTGGGGAGGAGGGGGGGGTGGTGGTATTTCCCACCCCACCGGGGCTGGCAAACCCACCAAAAACCCAAAGGGGGCTGTGGGCTTTGTTTCCCTGGGTGCCCCCATCTTGGGCCACCATCATCACCCATGGGACCTGGCTGGGGCTGGGGGGGCGGGGGGGTGCCCTTGCCTGGGTGGGCACTTGGGGAGTGGGGGGCAAGACCCCCAGGGCTCAGGGTGGGGAGGGGGATTGGTGACCTGTGGGTAGCCAGGGGGTGGGCCCTCCTTATTGCCCCCCGCCTACCCCCGACTCAAAGTGGTGAGGATAAAAATGAAATGAGATAAAATGAGATTTAAAAAAAATAAAAATAAAAAAATAATAAAAAAAAATATTGCAATAGTGATGATAATGAGGATGGTGATAATAATAGTAATAATGATGATGATAAAGGCGACACCGGCGATGGCGGGGGGGGACACAGCGTCCCCGGCGGGCGCGCGCGCGGTGGGGCGGGG